CTCGCACACTGCCACTTCCCCCCACTACCACTCTCCTACTGTAACTCACACACTGCCACTCTCGCCCACTGCCACTCTCCTACTGTAACTCACACACTGCCACTTCCCCCACTACCACTCTCCTACTGTAACTCACACTGCCACTCTCCCCTACTGCCACACTCCTACTGTAACTCACACACTGCCACTTCCCCCCACTGCCACTCTCCTACTGTAACTCACACTGCCACTCTCCCCCACTGCCACTCTCCTACTGTAACTCACAATGCCACTCTCCCCCACTGTCACACTCCTACTGTAACTCACACACTGCCACTTCCACCCTCTGCCACACTCCTACTGTAACTCACACACTGCCAGCCTCTCCCACTGCCACACTCCTACTGTAACTCGCACACTGCCAGCCTCTCCCACTGCCACACCCCTACAATGACTCATACACTGCTACCCTCTCCTACTGTCACTTGCATATTGTCTGTTGCACACTGTTATTATTCACTTATATTCTCATTTTGCCACACCACACAGTTACTCTCTCATTGCCACTCACACACTGTTGCTCTTACACTGTCACTAACTTAATGCCTCTTAATCTTCATCATGAATCTTCGGATGTATCATTCAGCTTCTCATTTTACTGCTGCAGCAACAAAAGTATTTTGCGGTTCAGGTAATTAAGTTTATATCTGGCTGGATTCCAGGCAGTACTGAGTTATTGCTATAGTGCTAGAGAGCTGCTACATTTTCCTCAGCCAGTCTTGGTCCTCCTAAATGTCTGGAATTAAGGGGCAGTCAGATTAAGATGCTTCACATGGTGAATGGATTTGATAGGGCAGGTAGAGAACTCTTTTCTATGATGGAACCAAACACAATTTGCAGGAGTTGGTGACATCAGGAGGAGCAAGGAATGACTGGCAAAAAGACACCAATGAAGGCACCCAGCACATGACTGACTGTGTGGTTAATGCAGCCTGTCACATTGAGAACAGCGCAGCTGTTCAATAAAACACAGGCAGCAGTGTTGGTAAATGGTGTTTGAACAGGGTCAAGGTTTTGTGATATTGCAAATCTGAAATTGTGGAATAATTTTAGAACAATCAACAGACTGATTAAGACTGTGGCTGCAAATAAACATATCGTTTGCATGGAGGGCTAGAAATCCTTATATATATTAAGTGAGCTGCAGGCAGTGTTTCTGCTAGTTCCAATTTATTCAGCAGGGTGAGGGCTACTCTCTGCGTAACTGGGCAGAGCTCTGCATTTTTCTCAGCTCTCTGCCTGAGGAGAGGTTTGACCCAGAACACTGCAATCTCCACCATGAGCAGGGCGAGAGGGCAGGTCACAAATCCACTCCCAGCACAAACTGGGACTGACCCCTGTGCTCTAGCCATCCAGACAAGCAACTCCTGCTGAGACTTAGACATCCATGCTGTGGTCTGGTCTGCTGTATATAGCGATGTAGAGGTTTCCATTTCATTCCATCACATGGTTGACCTACTAATACTGCGTTCCATTGGAGGGTGAGTTATGATTTGATCCTCAACCTGTTTTGGCTGCATATAAATACACCACCCTTGACCATCAGTACTGGAGTGGGATTTGAACCCTGAACTGCTCACTCAGAGGCACGCACACAACCCACTGCACCAAAAGACATGTTCAGAGACACTAGCCTGAATGTAAAGGTCTTTACAATGGCCCTATTAAATGGTCAGAAAGTCACTGACAACCTCGTTGCAACCATTTCTGGTAGTCATTAGGCAGTCTGCTTCCTGCATCAGGGTTTTCAGGGATTTAAAGGTAAAGAGACAGTTGTTAAGAGTTGCTGGCCAATCATAAAACCATCAGCTCCTCAGTCCCAGCAGCCTCACCAGGGCCAGTGGCCACTTCTATGACTGCTGACAGCCCTACACCTGCAGCCTGTGATGGAGACCCTAGGAGGTGAAATGGGCCTGCTTGTTGGACCCTGATGAGGTGGGGAGTGGGGGGTGTCGCTTGGCAGAGAGGGTGGAATTCCAACAGCAGTGGTCCAATTGTGTGGGTAGGCCCTCCACAGGTTACAAGGAGCTGGATCAGGAGTGCACCCCACTTCCCAAGGCTTCAAGAACATTGGCAGCTTGACCATGTGGTATGGGTCCACACTATTACTGGTAGAACATAGGATGAAGTCAGCGTGCCTGCTTCTGGGCCTCCACTGGCCTTGGAATGGAAAAGACTATGCAGACCATTCCCAATCCTGGGAATCAGGGACAGCTGGCAAATGATAGCATTTCTGCTCCTTTCCAGCTGAGTACTAGGGCCCAACTATCTCCTGCTCAATCCTGGTGCTGGATGGAGAGTGGGTGATGTGTAGGGGATAGGGAACCACACTGTTTCTTCAGCAAAGTAAAGGTTTTTGCATTGCATTACTGATTTAGCAGGATAAAGACTTTTGTTGTGTAACTACTGTTTCCCCAGCAAAGTAAGGATTACTCAGTATTTTGTAAGTGTCTGCTCATTCATCAAGGTAAGGGTTTAATAAAAAGCACACTCACCAGTTCACAGATCCTAACAGTAAAGATGGAGGAAGTTTATCTTTTGGAAACAGGTACAGCAGTCTGCTAGAGTCACATGCCTTACCTGTGTTTGTGGGAGACAGTCGCTTAATGGCGTCTGTCATTAGCAGATGGAGTAGCTTCAGCACTGACGACATGGAACCTTGATTTACAATGAGTTCCTCAAGACTTTTCTGCATCTCTAGTAGAAGGGCTTCTTGATCTGGAATTGAAGCAGTGGATTATTCATTCCACCTGGGACTGAGGAATCAGGGTCTCTCTCAAGCCTGTGAAATTGTTCAGAACTACACTAATGTCACAGGGTAACTTTCCATAATCACTATCCAGGCATGGGACAGCAAAGAGTACACCGACCCTGTATATACACAGTACACATTGGGAGTGTGCACCCAACCTGTATATACACAGTAGCCACTGAGACAGTGCACTCACCTGTATATACATAGTACACAGCAAGACAGTGCACTCACCCTGTATATACACAGTACACACGGAGACAGTACACTCACCCTGTATATTAGCAGTACACAGTAAGACTGTACACACACCCTGTATATACACAGCACACACTGCAACAGTACACCCACCCTGTAAATACACAGTATACACTGAGATACTGCACCCATCCTGTAAATACACAGTACACACTGAGATAGTGCACTCACCCTGTATACACACAGTACACACTGAGTCTGTACACCCACCCTGTATATACACAGTACACACTGGAACAGTACACTTACCCTGTATATACACAGTGCACGCTGAGACTGAGACCAGAAATGGATTGATGTCTGAATGGGAGAAGTATAAATTTGTAATCTCTCTCAGAGCAGTAAATAGGTACTGGGTCAGAGTACTTCGTCATCTTAATGTTGTGCATTAATTATATTGTGTCAAGCAGAAAGAAAGCAAATGGTGGGGTGGGGGAGTGGTGGTCAGTGTGAGTCTCTGTGTACAGCATAAACAGAGTGTGGGGTCCTGAGTCAAAGTGTACTATGTATGTACAGGGTGGATGTGCTGAGTCAAAGTGTATGACATTAGCACAGGTGGGGTGTACATTCTCAGTGCAATGCGTTTGCACAGTGTAGCTGCTGAATCTCAGTGCGTACTGTATATGTATAAAACGGGTGTTCTGTCTCTGTGCACCGCATGTTTACTGAGTCGGTGTAATGTCTCAGTGTCTACTGCATTTGTGCAGCGGGGTCTGATGCACTGTCTCAGTATGTACCACATATGCACAGGGTGTGTGTACTGTTGAGGAGCCAACTAGATCTAGTATGATGTAAAGTAAATGTGTTAATTAACAAGTTGTCATAAAGTAACCTATAGGGATGAATGACCACCATCTGCATTATGCTTGAAAATGAGGTAATCTATTTTGAAGCAATGGCATTAAATTTGAAAAGGGAAATTATGAAGGCTTCAGACAGAAATTAGCTGAGATGAACTGGGAAAATACATTAAAAGGCATGTCTGTATATAGGCAATGGACAGACTTTAAAGATTTAGTGCATGGCTTACAGCAACAGTACTCTCCTTCCAGAAACTCAAAATAATCAGTCACCCTGTTTCTAACAAAGTTCAGGATTGTCTAAGGTAAAAAGAAAATGTATATAAAAAGTTGCCAGAAATAGCAGCAATTCTGAGAATTGGGAGACTTTTAGAATACAGCAAGGGTTTCACCAAGAAACTGAATAGAATATGAATGCAAACCAACAAAAAACATAAAAATCAACTGTAAAAGCTTCTATAGGTACATAAAAAAGGAAGTTTGGCTAAAACAAATATGAGTCCACCTGAGGCAGCTTCAGGAGAGTTTATCATGGGGAATAGAGAAATGTTTAAGAAGCTAAATGATTACTTTTTCATTAGAGAAGATTGAAGAAATCTCTCAGAACTAGAGACGAGGGAGAATGAGGAGATGAAGGAAATTAGCATTAGTAAGAAGTTTGTATTGGGAGAAACTAATGGGGCTGAAATTTGAAGATTGCCTAGGACCTGATGGCACAGGTCCCAGAGTATTGAAGGAGGTGACTATAGAGACAGTCAATGTATTGGGATTGTTTCTCAAAATTCCTTTGATATTAGAATGTTTCTCGAGGATTGGAAAGTAGCAAATGTCCCCCTATCCATGTCCATCACCCACAGCCCAACCCCACACTCCTCCCCACTATTTAAGAAGTAAGTGAGAGAGAAAACAGGGAACTATGGACAAGTTAACCTTTCATCAGTGGAAGGGAAATGCTAGAATTAATGATAAAGTCGAGGATAAACAGACATTTGTATGATAATGATCTGATTAGGCATAGTCAGCATGGATTTGCAAATGGGAAATTGTGTTGGACAAACTTGGAACTTTTTGAGGATGCTTGAATAAAATTGATAAAGGAGAACTGGTGGACATTGGATACCTAGATGTTCAGAGTGCTTTTGATAAAGTTCCCCAATGTAGGCTGGTTAGAAAAATTAAAGCTCAAGGGATAGAAGGTAATGTACTGGCATAGGTTAATCATTGGCTAACAGACAGAAAACAGAGAATAAAAATTGATGGGTCATTGACATGAAGGCAGCCTACAACTAGTGGGGAAATACAAGGATCAGTGCTTGGAGTCCAGTATTTACAATAAATATCAATGATTTGGAGGTGGGGACCAAATATAATATTTCCAAACTTGTGGGCAATACAAAACTGAGTTTATGTGTCACTCTGAGATAGTAGGAACTGCTGATGCTGGAGTCTGAGATAACAAGGCGTGGAGCTGGAGGAACACAGCAGGCCAGGCAGCATCAGAGGAGCAGGAAAGCTGACGTTTCAGGTCTGGACCCTTCTTCAGAAAAATGAAGACATGGTGTACTGTTGCAGTATGTACTGTGTACGTACAGGGTGAGTGCTCAGTTTCAGTAATAACTGTGTATGTACAGGTCGAGTGCACTGTCTAAGTGTATACTGTGTATGTACAGGGCAGGTGCACTTTCTCAATGTGTCTTTTGTCTGTGTTTAAATTGTGTCCTCTGTTTATTGACTGTATGCCACTGGAAACAGTTTTCACTTGTTTATCAAAACTATTTGTCAAATCTCCTCTTAACCTTCTCTATTGTAAAGTGTACGCACAGGTTGAGAGTTAGTCTCAAGGTGCTGTTACCTGGAGGGGTATACACTGCAGGATTCAGCCAGTCCTGTTTGCTGCTTTGAGCCACGTCTTCCTCAGCATTCTCCATGGTCTGGTGCAGCACGTCATGTTTAACATCCAGCAGATTGACAAACGTGTCCAATCCAAGCAACACAAAATTACACCAATACCTCCCGAATCTGCAAAGATACAAACTCTCCCTTAATCCAGCAAAACAAATAATGAGAAATTACAATGATATTAGGCAGTGACAGTGAAGTGGAGATCTATGTGAATTAAGACCATCTCACGGCTTAGTAAGAAATTGTACTCAGTTTTTAAAGTATAAAAATTAAAATCTGATGTCAATCAGTTGTAAAAACAACCTGGTATTGTCCTCCGGGACAGGTCACCTGCTATTGACACCTCATCTCGCTTCTGTGTAGTTTATATCCCAAAGGTCACCAAATTCTATCAACTTTATTCTGTGCTTGCTGACCTACACCGGCTCTCAATAAAGCAATACCACTGTTTTAAAAATCTCATCCTTGTTGTCAATTTCCTCCATGGCTGCATCCCTCCCCATCTCTGAAACTTTTTCCAGCCCTAAAACCCTCCCAGCTATATGTACTCATCTAGTTCTGGCCTCTCGCACATTCCAGCTGTTAACTACTCCATTTGTGTGCATGCCTTCACTAGCCTGGGCCTTACATTTTGGAAATTCTAGCCTAAATCTCACCTCTCCATTCTCTAGGTCTCTTTCATCCATGAAAATACACCTTACAACTGAACTCTTTGTGCCAGATTTTGACATTGGGAGTCAAAAGGAGTGAGTGCGGAAGGAGTGACTGTGGATGAAGAGAGCATAGATAGGACTGCGTATGGATGGAAGTGAGTGTGGATGGATTGAGTGAGGATGGAGGGAATATGGAGGGAATAAGTATGGATGGAGGGAATGTGGATTGAGTGAGTGTGGGCAGGAGTGAGTGTAGATGTGAGTGAACATTGATGGAGTGATTTTCTGTCTGTAAAAGTATCCACAAGCTTCCAGTTGCCTGCAACTTCAAAACACCACTGGGTTCCCTGGCCAACATCTCTACTGTGACCTTGCTTTAGTGTTCTGGTGAGGCTCAGTGCAAGCTGGAAGAACAGCTTCTCATTTTCTGCTTGGACTCTGCAGTCTTCAAGACTCAATATCATATTCAATAATTTTAGAAACCGCACACCTTCTTCCATCCTTTACCCACCCTCACACCCCAGGCCCTGTCAAGACATGGATTACTTTCAGCATAGCCAACCAATTCTCATCGATTCACTGTCCCCATTATCAGCTTTTCTCCTTCTCTGGCTTACCATCACACATCCCATTGTCTGTCTAACTCTCTCTTTCTGGCCTCGTCTCCATCATATTTGTTTACTCCCCACTGTCTGTCTTTATCATATATACCACCTTTACCCAGCTATCATCAGTTCTGGTGAAGGGTCTTTGGACCCCAAACATTAACTCTACTTTCTTTCCCCAGACAGCGGGTTGTGATGGAGGGTTGCTTTTCAGACTTGGCCTGTGACCAGCGGTGTGCCACAGGATCAAAGCTGGGTCCACTTCTTTTCGTCATTTATATAAATGATTTGGATATGAACATCGGAGGTATGGTTAGTAAGTTCGCAGATGACACCAAAATTGGATGTGGAGTGGACAGTGAAGAAGGCTACTTCAGAGTACAATGGGACCATGATCAGATAGGCAAATAGCTGAGGAGTGGGAGGTGAAATTTAATTTAGATAAATGTGAGGTACTGTATTTTGGAAAGGCAAATCAGAGCAGGTGTTATATACTTAATGGTAAGTTCCTGGGGAGTGTAGCTGAACAAAGAGACGTTGGAGTACAGGTTCATGTTCCTTGAAAGTGGAATCCCAGGTAGACAGGATAGTGAAGAAGGCATTTGGTATGCTTGCCTTTATAGGTCAGTGCATTGATTACAGGAGTTGGGAGATCATGTTGTGGCTGTATTGGTAATTATGTGCAATTTTCGTTACCCTGCTATAGGAAGGATATTGTGAAACTTGAAAAGGTTCAGAAAAAATTAACAAGAATGTTGCCAGGGTTGGAGGGTGTGAGCTGTAAGAAGAGACTGAATATGCTGGGGCCATTGTCCTGGAGCATTGGAGGCTAAGTTGATCTTATAGAGGTTTATAGAATCATGAGGGGTATGGATAAGGTGAATAGCCAAGGTCTTTTCTCTGGGTGGGGGAGTCCAAAAGTAGAGGGCATAGGTTTAATGTGAGAGGGGAAAGATTTATAAGGGATCTAAGGGACAACTTTTTCAACGCAGAGGGTGATGCATGTATGGAATGAGCTGCCAGGGGAAGTGGTAGAAGCTGGTACAATTACAACATTTAAAAGATGTCTGGATGGGTATATGAATAGGAAGGGTTTCGAGGGATATGGGCCAAATGCTGGCAAATTGGGCTAGACTAATTTAGGATATCTAGTTGGCATGGACGAATTGGACTGTAGGGTCTGTTTCGATGCCGTACAGCTCTATGAGTCTATGCAGTCAGACCTGCTGAGTTTCTCCAGCAATTTTTGATTTTGTTATAAAAGTAAGGATGTTACGCTTTAGTGTATTGCAGAGTATTGGTGAGACCACACCTCGAATACTGTGCGCAGTTGAGGTCTCCTTATTCAAGGAAGGATGTAAATACATTGGAGGTAGTTAAAGGAGGTTTACTAGATTGATACTTGGAAGGAGTGGGTTATCTTGTGAGGAAATACTGGACAGGCTGTGGGTGAGTCCAGAAACAGGGGACACTGTTTTAAAATTAGGAGTCACTCTTTTAGAACGGATGTGAGGACAATTTCTTTCTTGCAGTGAGTTGTGCAACTTTGGAACTCTGCCTCAGAAGGAAATGGAAGCCATTTTACATCCCTTTTTCTCTTTCTCCACTATTAATAACCCTTCTATCTTTTGCATTGGGCCTCTATCTCTGTTAAGAGCATAAAAAATTTTTTCCAACATCTTTCTGTTCTGAAGAAGGATTATACTAGACTCAAAATGTTTAGTTATTTCTATTTCCATAGGTGATGCTAGACCTGTTGAGTTTCTGTAGCATTTTCTGTGTTTGTTTCAGATTCCAACATCCTTTATTCATTGATTCTCAGCTGCTATTTTGTGGTGGAACATTAAGACCAATGGAAAAATTAAGTCCCTGTTTGGACATGGTTTATGTCTCTGCTGAAGAGAAAGCAAGGAATAGCCCTGGCATTTCCTTTCTTGCCAAACAATGAGGTAGCCTGAAAACTGTCCTCAGAACTACAGACTGAGCAACTGGACACTGAAGAAAGTTTGGACATTCTCTTAAACCTTTTGGGTAAAGTTTAAATGAAAGATTACTTCTCGAATGCCTAAGAAGCTTAGTTGGACTATGATGAGTTAAGAAAAAGGATGGTTCTTCCATAGAAGAATACATCATAATGTTAACTTTTCTTCTAAATTCACTCGTGGGATGTGGACATCACTGGTTAGCCAGCATTTATTTCCGGTCCTTAGTTGCCCATGAGAAAGTGGTGGTGATCTGCCTTCTTAAACTGCTGCAATCCACGTGCTGGGTAGTTGACCTCAACGCCCTCGGGGATAGAATTCCAGGATTTTCACCCAGTGACAGTGAAGGAACAGTAGTATACTCCCAAGTCAGGATTGTGAGTGGCTTGAAGGTGGTGGTGTTCCCATATACAGGTAGTTCTGCTATAATGCTTGTTTCGTTAACGCGAATTGGCTGTAACATGATTGCTGAATAGTGGACTCACCCATAGCCTGTTCTATATTTCCTCACAAGACAACCCACTCATTCCAAGTATCAATCCAGTTTGGATAACACAAACTCTCTGCTGTGTGGATATAGCGATTTTCTACAGCAATTTCCCTATAACGTGATTTTCTATGGCGATTTTCTACAGTGTGATTTTCTACTGTGTGAGATCACACAAGAACGCAATAGGAGAACTACCTGTATCTGCTGCCCTTGTCCTTCTTGATGGAAGTGGTTGTGGGTTTGGGAAGAGGGTGTCTAAGAATCTATGGTGAAATTCTGCAAAGCATGTTGTAGATAGTATACACTGCTGCAACTGACCACTGGTGGTGGAGGGAGTGGGTGCTTGTGGATGTGGTGCCAATCAAGCGGGCTGCTTATCCTGGATGGTGTCAAGCTTCTTAGTTGTTTTTGGAGCTGCACTCATCCAGGCAAGTGGGCAGTATTCCATCACCCTCCTGACTTGTGCCTTGTAGATGGTGGACAGGCTTTGAGGAGTCAGGAGGTGAGTTACTCGCCGCAGTATTCCCAGCTTCTGACCTGCTCTTGTAGCTACTGTGTTTTTGTGATAAGTTCAGTTTAGTTTCTGGTCAATGGTAACTTCAAGGATGTTGATAGTGGTGGATTCAATGATAATAACACCATTGAATGTCAATGGATAGTGATTAGATTATTTCTTATTGGAGATGGTCATAGCCTGCCATTTGTATGGTGGCTCAGTGGTTAGCACTGCTGCCTCACAACACCGGGGACCTGGGTTCGATTCCAGGTCATAGACTTCATTCACAAGTGACTGTCTGTGTGGAGTTTGCATGTTCTTCCCTCATCTGTGTGGGTTCCCTCCGGGTGCTCCAGTTTCCTCCCACAGTCCAAAGATGTGCAGGTTAGATGAGTTGGCCATGCTAAATTGCTCCTGGTGTCCAGAGATGTGCAGCCTAGGTGGATTAGTCATGGGAAATGCAGGGTTACAGGGACAGGGTAGGGAGGTGGCTCTGGGTAGGATGCTCTTCAGAGGGTCATTGTGGACTTGATGGGCTCAATGGCCTGCTTTCACACTGTAGCAATTCTATAATTCAATGAATGTTATTTGCCACTTGTCAGCCCAAATCTGGATATTATCCACATCTTGTTAGATTTGAACATGGACAGCTTCAGTATCTGAGGAATCACGAATGGTGTTGAACATTGTGCAATGATTGGTGAACAACCTCACTTCTGACCTTGTGATGAAAGGATGGTTATTGATGAAGAAACAGCTGAAGAGGTTAGGTCTAGGACATTACCCTGACGAATGCCTGCAGAGATGTCCTGGAACTGTGATGAGTGACCTCCAACAACTACAACCATCTTCCTATGTGTCGGGTATGATTCCAAACAGCAAAGAGTTTGCCCCCAATATCCATTAATTCCACTTTTGTTAAGGCTCCTTGATGCCACACTTGGGTGAATATGGCCTTGATGTCAAGAGCTGTCACTCTCATCTTACCCCTGGAATTAAGCTCCATTGTCCATATTTGAACCAAGGCTGTAATGAGGTCAGGAGCTGAGTGGCCCTGGCAGAACCCAAACTGGGCGTCACTGAGCAGGTTATTGCTGAGCAGGTGCTGCTTGATAGCACTGTTGACGATGGCTTCCATCATTTTACTGATGATCGAGAGTACACTGATAGAGTGGTAATTGACTGAGTTGGATTTGTCCTGCTTTCTGTGTGCAGGACATACCTGGGGAATTTTCTGCATTGTCAGGTAGATGCCAGTGCTATAGCTGTACTGGAACAGCTTAGCTAGGGGACAGCAAGTTCTGGTGCATATGTCTTCGTACTATTGCCAGAATGTTGTCAGAGTCCATTGCCTTTACAGTGTCCAGTGCCTCCAAACGTTCATTGATATCTTTGAGATTGCAATGCTTCCAACTGGAAATGTCTACACCTGTACTTGCCTTCCAAGTGTTGGACTGCACGAGAATATCAAACGTAGAGAGGCCCTTGATCTTAACCAGAGTCTGATTGATGTGCTTTTAGATCAGATGTCTGAATCCTTAATACAATTTCTTTCCGCAAAGCATTCATTTTTGGCCATCTTCGTGAGCTCATCAATAGTGACACCAAAAATGGAGAATACAATGCTAGGAGCATTTCAAAGCTGTAGGAGTATGGGGCCCAAATGGCTGTACGAGGGAAAATTCACAATTGAGAAGAGTGACAATAGGGTGGCTATAATGGGCAGCAGCAGTTGTGCAGTTATGGTGGAAGGGTGTACCACAGGAATAACTATGGGATGGTTAATAGATGTTCCAGATGTCACTCAAAGTATGCATTCAATTGCCCAATAATTGATACTTTAACATAGAAGGAGAGGAGGAGTCCCAACTGTTTAATTTGTGGTGCTGTGGAGTCCGTGGACCATGTGTATATTGGGTGTGGGCGTTTGCACTCCTTTTTTTAGTTACCTGAAGGACTTTCTCCTCTGCATTTGGTTGCACTTCAGCCCCACGCTCCTGATCTTTGGGCACCCAGTGTGGAGGGGTGTGGGCAGGTCAGAGGATCTCCTTGTGGGCCATGCTCCTGGGCCTGGCCAGGCTGGCTATAAGTACATCCAGGCAGTGGGCTATGGCTAACTGCCTGCCCCTTTTCTCCAGTTATGTTCGAGCCTGGGTGTCCACCAATACTCTCAAAGCCTTTAGGGAGAGGTGGGCACCACGGGGGCTGGAGTGCTTTATTTCCCCTCCAACTTTATTTTGATTTGAATCTCTACCTTCCCTCTTCACTTTGCTATTATTACTAAAATTATTTTGCACATGATGTTTTTAAAAAAAAAAAATGGAAGGAGAGAAGGATAATACTGACCAATTAGAAGGAACTGTATTAGTCACTAGAGATTTAGTCCAGTCATGAGCATACTGGTTGGAGATGCATTCAGTGGTGCTATTGTAGACTGTCGGTATATGGTATCGATATGTGATTTGGACTTGTTAAAGTGTTACGTTGATTTTCTAAGAGTGAAACAAGGACAAAGAATATGACAGCTCTATTTGATTCAGGGTGAATCTCGTTAGCACATTGAAATCTCTAAAATAATTGCAACTGTGTGTAGAATAGCAGGGGAATATATCACTTTGTATGCAGTGATGTAGTATCCAGTGAGGTAAGTGAGTCCTTGTTCAAAAAAGCCTAAATGAAGTTAGATATGAAGCATGACAAATTGATTGTCTTTGGGAAATCTGTAGATTTGCAATTTACACAATCAGGACATTATTGTATACACTTAACAAGGCAGAATGTTAGAGGCATTAAAGGCACCCATGCATAGGGATCTAAAGGAAAAGAAGCAGATTATTTCAAAGCTACATCCAAGAGTTTGCACATCTGCCTTGTTGTAACAGGTCTATCGCTATAGTTTCATTAAAGATCCTCACCAATAATGTTCTCCTTTATTTTAATGAAATTAATATCTTCAACAAACTAAAGGATACAAGAATACTGCACTGATCTTATCAAAGATATTAATAGAAAATGAGACATTTCTAAAAAAAACAGGAGAAAGTCATTGAGATTTCTGCCAAGTGTTCCATTGGTGACGGACTTTAATGAAACCTCAGTTATGGATGAAGACTTTCTTTTACATACAGACTAGATTTGGCCTGTCAATTGTAACTTATAGTAAATAGAGAAAATAATAATCAACAAGATGATGGCAAGATCGATAAGAATGAGGTTAGCTAGATTCTAACGGACAGTGGAGGAGAATAAACCGATGAGAACTTTAGGAGTATGTGCGAGAATCTGAATATTGCTGCAATGTGCATAGTGACAGAAAGTTCTTTTAGAATAGAATTTATGACAATCCTGTATCAATATCACCCCTTTCTTCTTCCTCGACTCCTCCTACACAGTCCAGCTGCTCATGATGCCCCAAACATGGTCTTGATTGCACGCTCCTGAGGAATCAACACTGTCATCAGTTTCCAAAATGGAAAACTGATTTGTGAAAGGATGCTGGGGAACTCCTGCACTACCTGCCTGTTTCTATTGGTCAGCCTGGTGGTCACCCATTCCCTTTCTTCTTCCAGTAACCTAGGCTGTGGTATATATACCAAGGATGTGCTGAAGGGCTCTTGTGCTGCAGTGGTAGTGTCCCTACATCTGGACCAGGAGGCCTAGGTTCATGGTCCACTATTCCAGAGGTGTGCAATAACATCTCTGAACAGGTTCATTAGAAAATATCAACCGAGATGTGTTGAAGTGTCCTATGGCGCCATAGTAGATTCCCAACCTCTGTGTCAGGGAGGGTTGTATGTGAACGTTTTGAGTGCAGATGGTAGGTTTGCAGAAAGCAATAAACAGTCTCATTAAACTATTTTTGTCTCTGTGTATGCTCCTCAAATAGGTTTTGAAGTCTACCGATGATTGTGCTTGGGGAGCAATGAAAATGACAGCACCTGTGCACTCTACAGACACGTGCTGAGTTGGGGTTTCTGAATCGAAAGACTACTCGTTAAAGCTACATCCCTTTCCGAGTGTGTCTGTGTAAAGGGAAATCCCGAGCTATGATCAGACTTGGACCTCCTGAAATTCCAGGCAGCATTCAGGATCTGGTTTAAGACTGAATCCTGTGATGGTCCTTTCTGCTCAGTAACCCGAAGCAGCTGTATTTTACCTGGCGTCATTCTGCATCTGGTACTTTGCATATTCCATGGCACTACTGATGTAAGAGCCACTCCACAGAGCAATGTAGAAGTGATGATAGAAGGTAAGCAAGGCCTGCACTGGAACTGGTTTAATCTGCATCAGCACAGAAGTAGCTCCTGTTGAAAGATGAGAGAGAGATTTAGTATGTAAGGGCTGATGCTTCCTGCTCACACTGGGAGGCTTGTACCTCCAGCAGGTGCTTCCAGCTCTATCCTGTAATCTACTCTGCACTTTGATTAACCCTCCCTTGTTTCCTCATAGATAAAAGAGATGGTAGCATGGTGGTACTGTAATAAACTAGTAACCGAGAGGACTTGAATAATGATCTGGAGATGATTCAAATCCCACCACACACCAGATCGGGTCATTTAAATTTCATTCATAAATCTGGAATGAAATGCTCATTAATAACGATCATGAAATTGCTGGATTGTTTTTAAAAAGCTATCTGGTTAACTGATGTCCTTGAAAAAGGGAAATCTGACATCCTTTCCTGGTCTGGCTTACGTGTGAGTCTAGCCCCACAGCAATGTGGCTGATTCTTACTTGTCCTCAGCAAACCATTTAGTTGAACATGGTTTGCCATCTAATGACAAAGGGATATTAGGGATGGAGAAATGCTGCCCTTGCCAATGATATTCAAAACCTGAGAATGAATTACAAAATAGTTAATTGAGTAACGCATCGTATACACCCATCCTTTACACATTTGTCGATATGAATCTTTTCACAAATCTGACAGCAACTGCAGATTTCTAATGAAATTCTCCTGGTTTGGAAGCTTCACAAACTAAACCCTTCTGCTGAGGTGACTTATACCCTGAATGGCCCTGAATTCTATATAGATGAGAAACTAACCTTGCTTCGAAACATGATCCTGGTGCCTGCTCAACTGAATTTGAAAATAAAATTGTTCTAACTTCTTCTGAACTGAAAACAAAGTTAATGCCCTGCATGAGTAACCTACCCGTTAGTAACACAAAAATGTAAACATCTTTCTGTTGACAACACAGGACTGCAATCACCTGCTTTCTGAAAAATGCTGGATATAGTCACTTTCTGGAAGGATTCTCAAACCTTGTTTTTTTAAAGAAAGACCCTCACAGAAGTAACTAAAATCCAACTAGCTCTATTGTGAAATTCAAATTCCAAAAATCTTTTCAACATTTATAAATTATATATTGTTTTTCACACTCAGGATTACTTTTGCTCCTTCAAGCTATCATTGGGACTTGGTGCAGAGTACAATTGCTGAGCCCATCAAATGGGCCTAATTTGCTGTCACTTAAGTAATGGGAAAGAAATGCAGTGTGCTCCACTCTGTGCCTCCATCTTTCATACAGTCTTACTATGCAGGAGGCCCTTTGGCCTATTGTGTCTGTGCTAGCTCATTAAAATGGCAGTTCAATTAGTCCCACTCTTCTTTCCCTTTGGCCCACCCATTCTTTTCTTTAAGGTATTTATGCAATCTCCTTTTGAATAAGTTATTTCTTACAAACTCACTTTAAATAACAGAGACACGGTTACCAGAAATGTGCCAGAAGTTTAACTCAGGCCTACTTGCTCCATGCTGAGTAAACCCTAGTGGAAGCAGTCTGGCCTGCCAAGTACATGTGGCAGTCCATGTTTCTGTTCTATTCACAGGGCTACAGTCTTATGTGAGGATGCTGTCTGGCTAATGGTCCATTTTGTTGTATCTCCTACTGAACTTGACTAAAGCTTTCTCAGGAAGCAAATCTAATCATATATGTATGCACTAAATTTGCACAAAGCTGAACTAAGCAGAAAGTCTCACAGTTATTGCCCAGCCTACTGCCAGGGAGCTATTGACATTTAGAAATGGAAATCTGAATCAAAGACACTTCCTCCAATTACATCCACATCAACAGCAGAATGTCAGGGATACAGAATGACAAAGTAATAGACGATTGTGAACGTTTGTGGAATTGTACCCCAGTAAGCAATCAGGGTCTATGGAACTTTACACCAGTTTTGTGGACCTGTACCCCAAGCAGTCAATCTGTGGAACTGTCCCTCATTCATTTATCACAGGCTTTGTGACTGCACCGCAGCATGTGGTCAGGGCCTGCAGAACTATACTCAATAATCTGTTAATGCCTGTGGAACTGTAACCCAGCAAGGAGTCAGGATCTGTGTGACTATACCCTAATTCTGTGCAACTGTATCCAGTAAACACTCAGGGTCTACATGCATCTCAGTGCTGTGGAATTGTACACCAGCAAGCAGCCAGCGCCTGTGGAACTCTATCAAGTCAGGTACTTGCACCATTCATTTATAACCCAGTAAGGATTAACATCTTTAAATGCATTAGAGCCCCATTTGCAATTCCACTTTAGTTCTTGAAGTTACTCAAAGTGTTTCCAGCACACTGTAATTACGTCCAACCCAAGTCTCTCCTTGTGCCCGGAGCCTGGACTCTTGGCAGCAGTGGGCCCAGTATCTGAATTCATGGCGATGCCCAGAGTGGGGACTCCTGGCACCGGTAGGCCTGGAGCCTGGCCTCTCGGCAAGGCAGCAGTGACAGCTGAGCTGGGGTCTCCTGGGGCATCAGCATCATCATTGCTGTTCCAGAGCGGGACTCTTTGAGGACTGGAACACCTTGCAGAGACTTTGCAGAAGCCCTGAAGCTGGGCTTGAGAACCCAGTTTGAACAGAAGATGAACTCTTACTTAAATTAGTTCTTTTTATCTCTATTGTTACTCAAAATGGCGCCGGATACACTTTTCACTGTATCTTCAAGATATATGTGACAATAAATCATTCATTCATTCATGCAGGATTGATGAGGACTTGTTTCCACTCTGATTCGATGGGTACTGAGTCAATGATAATCTAATATGTTATGTCTAGACTGTGCCACAGGCAGAGCAGCTTGAAAACGAAGGTTTGGATAGATGGGGTTGTTTAGAGTGTGTACATTCTCTCTGATGCCTCAGCATCACCATGCACATCTCCAAACTGGTTTCTCAATGAGTTTGGTCTCTTTCCAAAAATGCTTTCTCCATTTTGTTTGTTTACAAGCCAGGGGCTCCCACGTTTCAGCGGGAATGTTTGATCTCTCTAGGGATGTTTTGAGACATCCCCAAAGTGCTGTACTCTGGGAGTCTCCTGCCACATTGAGTTTTAATGAGAGCCTTCAATCCACAACAAAAGCCACTGTAACGTCAGTCAGTGGGTCAGTGTGCAGATGACACTTGTGTGTGTGCTTACTCAGAGAATGAATTCAGGGTCATTGTTGATTCCTTGACAAAGCTGATGAGAAAATGGGTCTTTCACTAAACCCCAGGGAAATACGGTCCTCTTCCAACTAGCTCCCACAGCAAAACACCCTCCTTATCTCCCATCAATTGAGATGCAATGTGAGATCCTAGAAAATGTGGATCATCTTCTGCGCATCAGGAGCCTCCTCATGGAAGGATGACTATATTTATCATTGCTCCTTGTGCCAGCTCAGCCTTCAGCCGATTGTGGAGAAGAGCATTTGAGAATCTCAAACTTCAGACTAAGGACATGGCAGCAGAGATCTCTGCCTCCCATAGGCCTAGACAACCTACATGAGGCACCTCAAAACATTGGAGAAGTACTTTCTGAGGATCCTTTAAAGCCAGTGGCAAGAAAGTTGATCCAATAACAACATCCAAGCCATATAGCACAGTATTGATGCACTAATCATTCAAAAAGAAGCTGTCTGGCCTGGAAATGTCATTTTTATGTCTGACACCAGACTCCTGAAGCAACTGCACAAAGTACTTAGCATAGTGAGCCCTTGCAGGCATTCAAGAGTTAATGGAAGTCGGGATCAAGGTACAGAATTTGTGATTTATGTTATCAGTATTGTTTTTTTGAGTTAACCACAGCCTACTCCAGCCTTGGGAATGGTTTCATTGGTGGCTGACATGGGCCTCCTTGCTGTGATTTGCTGGGAAGCTGGTTATCTCTCTAATCTATGTCGTTTATCTGACACACAGTACCAACTGGCACAGAATCTTTAAGTTACAGCTACACGGTGACATTTACGGGAAGGAGCAGCTAATGTTGAGATATAACGCCCCAAAGAATTGACATTCAACAAGGACACAGCTTACAGGGATGGAAATACTACTCAGCTCCGAAGAGGTGATACACCATGAATCCTCAAAGGCTGACATCAAGGCACTGAGCAAGGGCAGACACCTGGCTTCACAGGTGAGTGTTGGGAATCTTGTTGAACTTGATAGTGTGCTTAGGCTGTAGGAGAGGCTGCCAATGCAAAACATGCTGATAGACTGAGAGACATGGAAGCACAAAGTCGGGAGGCTAGTATAGAAGACTTTGGCAAGCAGCAGCTTTTACCAATCTGTCAGGAAGAAGCAGACTTTGAAGTTAATGTCACAGCCAGTCACAGGAAGATAGATTTTTACAATAATGTGGATACTAATCTGGATAGAGTGAATAGCTAAGGTCTTTTCCACTGGGTAGGGGAGTCTAAAACTAGAGGCCATAGGTTTAAAGTGAGAGGAGAAATATTTAAAAGGGACCTAAGGCATAATTTTTTCATGTGGAGGCTGGTGCATGTATGCAACAAGCTGTCAGAGGAAGTGGTGGAGACTGGTATAATCACAGCATTTAAAAGGCATCTGGATGTGTATATGAATAGGAAGAGTTTAGAGGGATATGGGCCAAATGCAGGCAAATTGGGCTAGATTAATTTAGAATATCTGATCAGCCTGGACAAGTTGGACCAAAGGGTCTGTTTCCATGCTGTATAATTCTGTGACTCAATGACTCTATTCTCTTTTCCGAAACACAGAGTAAAACTGTGGAGACACTGTGGACCTTTCAGGAGGAGAGTGAATCGAATGATGAAGGACAGCAGTGCAGGATGTTTAATGAACCAACTCACCCAAAGGTGACTGAGAGACAAGCACTGAATTCTGAACAATCAATCCCTTCTGTGGAGCAGGCAACGAACGGGATATTGTCTGGACTCAGCCGAGGCCCTGTGACCCAGTATCTCATGGCACATGCCAAGGAGAGCGACTTTCAAGAGAAAGAGCATTGTGAGTTTACCAGTGAGAGTGAGGTGAGCAATGACAATGTCAGTAACTGCAATGTTTTACAAACACTGCTGATGGCAGCTGAAGCTTCAGTGACTCTTGTTGTTCCTCCTGCAACCAGTGACCCTACTATGTCTCAACAGGAACGATCCAACTGGGACCACCCAACATCAACGGCTACAACACAAGCCACCCAGGCGGAGAGCTACTGTCATTCCCAGAAAAATCCCTCAGCCAATGAGACAAATAGTAGGCTGGTAAAGAGTGGAGCATGCAGTTCAGTAGAGTCCCTGCTGGTCCTTGATGATGGAGCTCTTCTATCTGTTATAGAGAAAGATGGGGGACAGCACACAGGAGCCAATTCCTTGGCCAGAGATGAAAGATGTCAGGCCATGTCTGCTGCAACAGGAAGTAAACTTGGGGAAGATAAAAATGAGCACAAAATGCCTGTGCTGCCTGATAATACGTGTGACACAGTCTTGCATGTGACAATGGATAGTGAGGAACAGGAATGTCCTGTTTGTATTGAACTGTATGACTCTGGCACTCACAAGCAGGCTTTGCTGAACTGCAACCACAGCTTTTGTGACAGCTGTGTGAAGAGCATTATGGAGAAGGCAGCAGTGAGCAACACAAGCCAGATCTGCTGCCCAATCTGTCGCCAGAGAACTCCAATGCCTGAGTGGGAGATCCGTCAGCTTCAGGAAGAGATGACGTGTTTAAATGGGGCAGTGGCTGGCAGACTGGTCATGATGCCCACACCCCCAGCCCCACAGGAAAGACCATGCATGAGGCTGGAGCAGACCTTCCGCCAACGTTTGTTCACCACCCGGAGGTGTGGCTACTTGCCATGCCTGCAATACCCATTGTGGCTGGTAAATGCATTAGCACAGTGCGACCAGACATCACCGTATTGTTACCTCTGCTCCATTCTCCTCCTGTATGGGCTGGAGTTACTGTGTCTTTCTCTCATCTTCACTCCTGTGATTATACTAATCTTACTCTTCACATTACTGGACAAAGAATGAGCTGATGGGAACATGGGTCATAGACCCAGTCATCTACAATTAATATACCTGCATTAAAATGGGGCAATGACAGTCTGTAAACAGTGCAAACCAATGCTAGACCTGAATAAAACATTGGAAATCACAGGGGATGGAATATAACCTGGAGGGAGGAGGAGCCCAGAGGCATTAGGAGTAGAGCAGATGGAATCAGATGTTGGGATTAGGCTGTGATGGAACCAGTTGGATTAGGCATTGGAGTGACCAGGAACTGTTTGAATTGGGATTTAGAGTAAGTAGGAGTTGATGGATTGGGTATTGGAATGAGCAGGAGGCAGTTGAATTGGTGATTGGGGTGCACAGGAGCTGGTTGGATTATGGATTGGGATGAACAGGAGTTGGTTGGATTGGGGTGAACAGGAGCTGGTTGGATTGGGGATTTAGAGTGAACAGGAGCTGGTTGGATTGGGGATTGGGGTGAACAAGAGCTGGTTGAATTGAGGACTGGGGTGAATAGGAGCTGGTTGGATTGGGGATTGGGGTGAACAGGAGCTGGTTGGTTTGGGGATTGGGGAGAACAGGAGCTGGTTGGTTTGGAGATTAGGGTGAACAGTTTCTAGTTGGATTGGGGATTGGGGTGCACAGGAGCTGGTTGGATTGGGGTGAACAGGAACTGGTTGGATTGGGGATTTAGAGTGAACAGGAGCTGGTTGGATTGGGGATTGGGGTTAACAGGAGCTGGTTGGATTGGGCATTGGAGTAAGCAGGAGCAGGTTTGATTGGGATTTAGAGTGAACCGGAGCTGGTTGGTTTAGGAATTGGGAAGAACAGGAGCTGATTGGATTAGGGATTGGGGGAGCAGGAGCTGGTTGGATTGTGGATTGGGATGAGCAGGAGCTGGTTGGATTGGGATTTAGAGTGAACAGGAGCTGGCTGTATAGGGGATTGGGAAGAACAGGAGCTGGTCGGATTGGGATCGGTGGGAGCAGAAGCTGATTGTTTCCAGCCATTGTTTCAGAACTGTACAAATAAACCCTTTAAAAACAACATCAATTTGAAAATCTTTGTTTTATTGTTTCCCATGTGAAATGCAACAGTTAATCAGAACATCAATCTGTATGGATAATCTAGGATCTGGATTGATTAGTGATGGGAACCAGAGTAGATTCGGCCAAAGGTAGTTATTATTTCTATTAGAGCAGGACCTTCTTCTTAGGTCAAGAAGCAGTTGGAATAAATTGTGTTACTGGTTGAGGGATGAAGCTGTTTGATGTGAGAAGGAGCCAGTTGAGGGTTGTTGTGGTTTACTTTGCACGAAACTGTTTAGCAGCATGCCTTTTGCAGTGTTGCTGTGAGTTATATTGTACTGAACAGATTCACTGTTGAGTTGTTGCAGTTATAAACCCTGCACGGAAACTGTCAGCATTCCGAGTTAGATTGTTTGGAACCAGTCACCTAAAGGGAATAGTATTGTGCTACTTTGTAGGGAACTGGCTACCTGCATGTATAAGTTGGAAAGGCTTAGAGTTATGGTATATGGAAAGACAGGAAGGTAGGAATGTCAAACAAAACTTCAATTCAAGGCCTGAAACAGCACTTGTTTATCAGGAGTGAATATCTGTTAATTGGTTGAAGCCTATTCTATTCTTAAGTTTTAAGAATATACACTTTGGTGGTAGAGTTAATACAATACATAAAAAGCATCATAGGTAAGTGAATAGCATAACTAAATAATTAATTAACAACTCATTAAAAACAGCATTACAGGTACTATGCCAAAGCTGCAGTATGTGACAGCTTATGGATACCATTATGATCCAGGGTAAACATATCTGTGGTAAGTTTTTAAAGTTTGAGCAGCTTTGGCTCAAAGATAATGAACTGGAGCCTGAACCACAGACACTGGAATGCATCAGGGAGGGTGAAAGTTACCTAGCTTCTTTATACCAGGAGCCAGTCACACCTCTTAGGATGAGATTGTAGAACTGCCGATGCTGGAGAATCTGAGATAACACAGATATCTGAGATAAAAATTAAAATCTTTTTCTGAAGAAGGGTCTAGGCCCGAAACATCAGCTTTCCTGCTCCTCTGATGCTGCCTGGCCTGCTGTGTTCATCCAGCTCTACACCTTGATACCTCTTAGGACATTGTGTCCTGATGTGGTCAGTGGGTCAGGGACAGGAGGATGTGACTGCAACTGAGGCATGTTAGGCACCTAGAGGACAGGAGTGCCAGCCTCTGAAAATAGGTTTGGATGAATGTGGGGTCTGAGGGCTGAATGAGCAAAATCAGCATGGTATCACGATACAGGAACACATTTTATGTGGACAGAGCCAAAAGGAATGTAGTGGGGTATTAGGGGATTGTCAGGGGGATTGACACATTTCTCTGCAGCAAACAGTGTGAGCCCAGGTAGCTGTGTTGTCTGTCCGGTGCAAGGGTCCAGTTTATCTACTCTGGGCTGGAGAAGGACTTGCAAATGGGAGGAGAAACATCCAGTCTCATGGTCTATGTAGGCACCAATCACATAGGTAGAGCTAGGAAAGAGACTCTACACTGTCCATTTGAGGAGTTGGCACCAAAATTAAGAAGCAGAACTTTAGAGGTAATAATCTTGGGACTATTACCTGAACCATGTGCAAGTTGCCCTAAGGTAAACAAGGTTAGAGAGATGAATGTGTGACTGAAAGATTGGTGTGGGAGAAGTGGATTGGGGAAAATGAGATCTGTACCATTAGGACTGTCTACACATGCACCACACTAAGACTGTTGTTCCTGTGAACCGTATAACTAGGGAAGTAGAGCAGGATTTAAAATAAATATTGGAGCCTGACAGCCCAAATTTGGGAAGTTGTGGTGAATCAAAGAATGGGAAGAATGCAACAGAGAAAGGAATTAATGTGGGAAATGGTAAAACAATGACAGGAAGGGAGAAAGAACACATATCTAAGAGCAAATCAACAGATAGGAATGGAGATGATAAAAGTAATAAAAGGGTGAAACCTAATGCACTGTGTTTGAATGCACATAGCATTCAAAACAAAGAAACAAAGCAGATGAACCAAAAGTACAAATTGAAATAAATAGTATGATCTTATGGACAGGAAGCTAGGAAAGGGTGGAGGAGTGGCTCTGTTAATTAAAGATGATATTGGCACAATGGAGAGGCATGACCTAAATTCAGGAAATCAGGATACAGAAGCAACCTGGATAGACATAGGGAATGATAAAGGCAAGAAGTCACTTATGGGAGTTGTGTACCCTTAGCAGTAACCACATGGTAGGACAGGGTACCAAGGAAGAAATAATGAGAGCTTGTCAGAAGTGAACAGAAATTATGATGAGGTATTTTAACGTACATACAGACTGGAAAAATCAGACATAATAAGGGAGTATAGATGAGGAACTTATTGAATGTTTTTGGGACAATTGCTTAAACATGCATGTTAATGGAACCAACCAGAGAGCAGGCTATACTAGACTAGGTTTTGACCAACGAGGTAGGATTACATATTGACCTCATATGAAATCGTCCCTGGGTAGCAACCACCATAATATGATTTAATTTTTACAGCGAGTTGAAAGGAGAGAAGTGTGGGTCCAAGACTTCTATTTTGAATTTAAACAAAGGCCATGAGGGTAGGAAAGCAGAGCTAGTGAAAGTGAACTGGCAATTTAGGTCAAGGGATAGGCCAATATAGATGCTGTGGCAAACATTGAGGGGATTTTCCAGAAAGCACAGATTAGGTACATTTCAACAAATAAGAAAAAAATTCTAAGGGAGAACCCTCCATCCATAGTTAACTAAAAATATCAAAAATAGTATCAAACTCAAAGAAAAGATATATAATTCTGCAAAGATTGGTGACAGGTCAAAGATGAACAGAATGTAAGAAGAAAAAAACCCAAAGAATTACTAAAAGATTAGAGTATGAGCGAAAGATAGCCAAAAATATAAAAACAGGTAGGAGAAGTTTCTTCAGATACTTCAAAAAAAAAGATTTAGTGAAGTAAATGTTAGTCCTATAGTAGACTGGGGAATTAGTAATGGAAGATAAAGAGAAAGCAGATAAGTTGAACAGATATTTTGCAACAGTCTTCACTAGAGAGGATACAAGTAACATCCTGGAAATAGCTGTAAATCAATGTTTGAAAGGGAGGGAGGAACTCCAGATAATTACAATTACCAGAGAAGTCATACAGAGTAAATTGTTGAAAGTGTCAATTGACAAGTTCCAGATTCTGGTGATTTCAACCTAGGGTATTAAAAGAACTAGGCAGTGAAATAGTTGATGCAGTGGTTTTAATTTTCCAGAACTCATTAGAATCATGGAAGGTCCCTTCAGATTGAAAAATACCTCATGTGACTCCTTTATTAAAAAGGGACGGAGGCAGAAAGCAAGAAGCTACAGGCCAGTTAACATCTGCCATGGGGAAAATGTTAGAAGCTTTTATTATAATAGGGCACTTGGAAAAGTTCAAGGTGATCAGGCAGAGCCAACTTTGTCAAAAGGAAATCACATTTTACTAATTTATTGGAATTCTTTGAAGAAGTATCTTATGCTCTGGATAAAGGGAACCAGTGGATGTATGGTATTGGATTTCAAAAATGCATTTGATAAAGTGCCACATTAAAGGTTATTGTGGAAAATAATAGTTCATCATGTTGGCAGTAATATATTGGCATTGATAGAAGACTGGCTGGGTAACAGAAAACACAGAGTAGGAATAAGTGGGTCTTTCTCAGGCTGGCAGGATATCATGAGTTGTGTGCCACAGGGATCAGTGTTGGCGATTTATACAAATGATTTGGATGAAGGGATCAAAGATATGGAGCTAACTTTATTGATGACACAAAGAAGAAGAAAAGGCGCAGAAAAGGCGCAGAAAAGGCCCTTTGGCCTATCGAGTCTGCATTGACAATAGCTACCATTAAATGTGCACTAATCCCAATTTCCTGCACTTGTCCCATATCCTTGAATATTATGATATTTCATGAGCTCATCCAAATATTTTTTAAAGGTAGTAAGGTTTATGGTGTCCACTACCTTCCCAGGCCATGCATTCCAAATTCCATCACCCTCTGAGTGAAAAGGTTTTTGTCAAATCCCCTCTGAATCTCCTGCCCCTTACTCTCAAACTATGTCTCCTCATGATTGATCCCTCAACCAAGGGGAAAAGCTGATCTCTATTTACCCTGTCCATACTCATCAATCTATACCCCTCAATCATGATTCCTCTCAGTCTTCCCTGCTCCAAAGAAAATAATCCAAGCCTATTTAGTCTCTCCTTATAGCTCAATTTCTCCGTCCCAGGCAACATTCTGGTGAACGTCCTCTGTTACCCCCTCTAATGTTATCTCATCCTTCCCGTAGTGAGGTGACCAGAACTGCACACAGTACTCCAGGTGCAACCTAACCAATGCTCTATACAACTCCAACATTATCTCCCTGCTCTTATATTCACGCCACGACTGATGAAAGCAAATATCCCATGCACCGCCTTAACTATCTTATTTCCGTGCTCTGCCAACTTCAGGGATCTGTGAATAATTATTCAAGATCCTTCTGTTCCTCTAAGCTACCCAGTGTCCTACCATTTATTAAATACTCCCTCATCTTGTTTCTTCATCCAAAGTGTAAAAACCTTCTGCCACTGCTCTGCCATCTGACCAACCCATCTATACCTTTCTGTAACCTACAAACATCTTCTTCGCTATTAATTACTCTACCAATCTTGGTGATAGTAGGAACTGCCAAAGCTGGAGTCTGAGATAACAAGGTGTGGAGGTGGATGAACACAGCAGGCCCGGTAGCATCAGAGGAGCAGGAAAGCTGACGTTTCGGGTCTGGACCCTTCTTCAGAGATCAACTGAACTTCCCTCATCCACACACTTAATCACATTTTCAGAAAATTCTTACAACTTTGTTTGGCATAAACACCCCGAACAAAGCCATGCTGATTATATAAAATTAACCCATGCCTTTCCAAGTGGATATTAATTCTCTCCTTTTGA